CACGATTGATCTCCCAAGAATCACGACCCAACAGGCGACCGATCTCATTAGACCCATCACAGAGGAAGAACTCCATACCATAATAAAACAGCTACCAAACGGCAAAGCCCCAGGCCCGGATGGACTTGACAATGCATACTACAAACAATTCCACCACATACTGACACCCCACCTGGTGCGCACATTCACAGAGGCGACGGCTGTACAGAAATTACCACCAGACACGCTCTTGGCCCACATCATAACGTTACAGAATTCCCACAAAATTTCAGACCCATATCCCTGCTTAACACCGACGCGAAAATATTTGCCAAACTATATGCGATGAGATTGAGCAGTCTCCTACCTCAGATAATCCACAAAGACCAAGTTGGGTTTGTGTTAGGGAGACAGGGAGCGGACAACACACGCAAGGTCCTGAATATACTGCACAGTTTACCCAAACTACACAAGGGGGGAGGGATTGTCATCTCCCTAGATGCCGAAAAGGCATTCGACCGCCTGCACTGGGGGTTCCTGGAGGCAATCCTGACAAAATTTGGAATACCAGGAGAATTTAGAGCCGCGGTCAAAGCGTTATATAGCGCTCCGACAGCCCAGGTACTTAACGCAGGTTTTCTTTCTAACCCGTTTAGTATCTCAAACGGCACGAGACAGGGATGTCCCCTGTCTCCCTTGTTATACGTTCTGGCCTTAGAGCCACTGGCAATAAAGATTAGGCAACATGACTCTATCCACGGGGTACAGATTGGGGAAAAGGAATATAAAGCCAACTTATTCGCGGATGACGTGCTCCTGACCCTAACACAACCACTGATTTCACTGCCAAACCTACTGACTGTCATAAAAGAATATGGAGACAGCTCCTATTACAAACTAAATGTGACAAAAACTCAGGCCATGGGGATTGGGATGTCTGATGCCGTCCTACAGGTATTGCGGGAAAAGTTCGTAATGGACTGGAGGACAGACAGCGTCTCTTTCCTGGGACTTCAATTAACAAAGACAATGGGGGGACTATTTAAGGCCAACTACGAAGCCCTACAAAAAGAGATAGAGGCCAGTTTGGCCTCATGGGGAGATAAATACCTCTCCTGGCTGGGCAGGATGGCAGCATTTAAAATGTCTATCCTCCCCAAATTACAATACTTATTTCGAACTCTGCAAATCGATCTTCCAACCTCCTACTTAACCAAAACACAGGCGATACTTACTAAATTCGTATGGGCACGTAAACGAGTGAGAATAGCTGCCAAACACCTGTATAGACCCACTCACCAAGGGGGTCTAGCCCTACCAAATATCAAAATCTATTATCAGGCGTCGTTACTAGCCCCAGTGCTAGGGTTCCAATCCCCAACACAGGTCCCGCAATGGCTGGAAATAGAAAACCATTGGCTTCAAGGGACGGACCTCCGCAGCTTGTTGTGGGTACCTAAAACACTACGCTCCCACCAACCCAATATATTACCCACCACGAAAACATTACTGAGGACTTGGGACAGAACACACAAATCACTGCTCTCTGCGACACCGTGGTCACCGGCAACACCTCTATCATGCTTACATGTAGCAAACAACACATTTGACCATAGGGAATGGACGAGGAGAGGCTGCACACATGTGAGGGACTTACTGGAAGAACAACAGATAGTCCCATTCCCCATCATTAAAGAGAGATTCGAACTGCCCCCCAGATCGATATTCCCGTATCTTCAACTAAAATCCATGCTAGGGGCCCAAAAGTCCACAGTAGAGGGGGAGACCACACTCACGGAGTTTGAAAGGACTTGTTTAAACCCAAAGCAGAAGAGGGGCCTGATTTCCCTGTGCTACACACTCCTAAATAGAGGCGATCCCGTACACAAAGACAGATTTAGTACAGCGTGGCAGGCAGACATTGGGAAGCACTTCGAGGACACCCAATGGAGACGCGCCACCACGGCACACAAAGGAAGGACCACATGCACGTCCCATCTAGAATTAATGCGCAAGGTATATTACAGGTGGTACATGGTGCCAGTAAAACTGGCAAAAATTTACCCAGGAACCTCAGCCGAGTGCTGGAGATGTGGGGAACCAGAAGGTTCGATGTATCACATATGGTGGACGTGTGAAACACTTAGACCTTATTGGGAGATGGTTGAAAGGTTACTTAATGAGATACTAGAGGATAATATTACACTCACCCCAGAAATGGGCCTACTGTTCATGAACATAGATAGATTCCAGGGCAGTGAGACAATTCTAGTCTTTCACATCCTAATAGCGACACTGACTCTTATAGCCAGAGAATGGAAGTCAGACAAGGCACCGACGAAAATAGCCCTAACGAGACAGATCTCCACCAATTTACACTACGAACTCATAGCCAGGAAAAATTTAGGTAACAAGCGCAAGTTTGAGGAAGCGTACAGTAGGTGGGAGGACAAAACCGCGCCCCAGGAGATAGGAGACAGAGACGGAGACTAGCCCACTGTCACAGACCCAGCCCGACATGTAGAATTTACATAGCAAGCGTACAAGAATCCCTCAAGACTGAGGGGAGCCCAGGGACTTGGAACCCCAGGGGAAGAGCGAGAACAGACAGGAATCACCGGAAACACCAGAGAAGGGCAGGGAAACGATATGAATATAGCGAGTATAGAATAGAGCAAAACCGGTAGGGAAAGAGGGCATATCACAGTCTTTCCCCTCCCTAAACCCCCCCCCCCACAGCCCACTTCCCTCCCCCCCCTACGCAGGGAACGGCAAGCTAGTTCAAGGGCAAACTTCCAGAGAGTACAAGAGGTCGCTTCAGGGAAACCTAAACAGAGATGATAGATAGCGGGGCGACTAAGCAGGTCCCTAAGCAGAGACAGGAGGACGTGGCGAATGCAGACAAAGGGCGGGCTAGTGTGAAACAGAGAAATGTAGGCGAAGTCACATAGGAAGCTACATAAGATACTACATGTGATGCTGCATATGATGTTATACACGATGTTATGTACTATGTTAAACTGGAAGTCATGTAAAACGAGATGTGGGATGTTCCCTTCTTCCTTCTGTATCCCAAGTTTGCTTCGTAAGTGAAAATAAAAATTGTCAAATTGAAAAAAAAAAAAGAAGGCGACTTGTGAGTGTCCATAAGTCGTGACACTCAACTCGTCAGACCAAAAACGGTATGTGAGAGAGGATTGGTGGCCCTTAAAGCAGAACCAAGTCCCTCCCACAACTACAGGCCCAGCCTTTCATATATATTTTATTGTTATTTTGTAACATTATTTGGGAGTCTATTGAATGTGAATCTGTGATTACATGCATTTTGTTTTTGTTATAACGACTGTCAGACTAAAATAAAGCTTTTTTTTTTAAATGAAATTGATATGTATTGCATAAATATATATATATATATATAGATATATATATATGTGTGTGTATTTCATTCCTATAAGTATTTCTGTTTATATCTCCCCACCACAACAAACACATTTAACCTGATGGTATAGTGGTGATAGCAGACTCAGATTTGCCATAAGGCCACCAGAAGCACTACAAGGGTGGCACTGCCAGGTGTAAACAGACCACTTTAAATGCTACCTTCCCATATTTGCAGATTTATGGAGCAGCATGGCGTGAGTCCACAAATAACTACTGAGAGCACGACCTGTAGAGGTATTGGGAAATTCCCATGTCTTCTTTGAGATCTGTCAAGCTCCCTGTTACCAACTTTCTTCCTGCTTGCTGCATGCACTATATTCAATTTAAAATGAAATTATTTTGCAACAAAATAATTTAATTTCCAATTTCCAGTGAACTGAAACCGTAATAACTTTTTTTTCATATTTCTGTTATCTTGGCCTGAAAAAAAGAAACTTGCTTTCAATTCCTGGCAATTGTAGTGAATATCTCTAATAAGATTTGCTTTATAGTTGACATAGTATTTTTAAAGTCTACATTGCCATCAATTGAGGTTATTCAGAAAGCAGTAGATGAAGGTGTGTTGCAAGTGACTAGTAAATTTCAGAACAAAATAGCCAAGATATATAATCAATTGCATTAATGTTTGAGGAATACAACCCAAGGTTTTTAGCAGATATTATTTCGGTCGAAGTCTGTGAACTTGGAACATGGTAAATCACAGCCAAGTACCAGTTTTTACAGGGGAATTTTTGATCACTAAACATGCAGGGATTTTTTCCGAGGTTAATACGTCACAGTGTATAGAGGTGATATGATAGTGACACTTTAACTAGCTGCACTCCACCTTCAATAAACATCACTTTTAACCAAATTTATTCTACAGCATGACAAAAACAAACATTTGAGGTATTTATGATAGATGTTTGAACTCTATTTAACATGATATTTTAAATACCAAAAATATCCCACCTTCTTCAAAAAACATGTACTTTTCCTTGTATGTTTGTTATTTTTTGTTGTTTATTTTATTATTGTATTGCACGTTTTTTTGGCCTTGACAATTTTTATGTCTAAATGTCCCCCTCTCTTTATTTATGGAAACTCTAATCATGTGTTTGTTGGATTTCAGCTGGATTTGAACTCAACGAGGGGTTTAGATTTATTGTATCATTTGTACATAATAGGAAACCTAGTGGATAAGTCATAAACTTAAAATCATAAATATCTAATTATTTTATTAGCGCTCAAATTGTTATTATTATCATCGTTGAGCCGCCAGACTGTAAGAATAAGAGGCGTTTTCTATTTATCATTATATTCTGCTTGGTCAGGTTCCAAGGCCTTACATTACAAGTAACTACGAATTCCAATTAGCTTGCCAGGACTGCTCTACAACTGGTTTCATTTGGGAAAGATCAAAGATTCTTTTACTTAGCTATTCTGTTCATTAACAATAGAATACTACGTTTTACAGCCGAGCCTGCTGTTTAGAGTCCTTGAGGATTAATCAAGGGGAAAGTTGGAAAAGATAAAACATTTAAAGCACATCACGAAAACGAAGAATAGAATTTTGATATATTTTTCCACAAATTGTAATTGCCGAGGTATGTCTTCAACAAGTAATTTCCTAAATTATCTGTATGTCTGGTTTGAAGAAACTGCCGGTCGTCCAGATATGGAGGAACCAGATAAAACAAGTGGACCATGCTCTTTTATTAAAGAGTAAAGAAAGATTATTGAAAAAACAAAACATATAACTTGGCAACTTAGTATTCTAAAATAAAAAAGATTTGTTTGCTTGGCCCACACAAGATTTTTACAATGCCTTATGTCTTAAAGGGACATTGTGAGCTAAAATGCACCTTTAATGCATTTGTTATGTTTTGACCTCATTAATTTGATGCATTTTTTGCCTGCTCAAATCTTCATAATTTTTGCACAAAAACTATAAACTATAAAGATTTGAGAATGCGGCACCATAAGCCTGCCTACTTAGTTACGCCCCCTTACTTCACAAAAAATCCTTCCTTATGAAATGTATGCAGACATCTCAGTCACTGACAGTACTGAATGATCTGAACTACAAAGCAACCTTCATTAGAAGAGAGGACACCCAGGGAGACATATAGTAAGGATATCACTACCGGTTTGTAGTTTCTGTGAATTAAAAGCAGTTCACTCAGTGTTAGGGGCTGAGCTGCGTACATGCATTTTATAGGGAAGCATTTTTCTGGAGTAAGGGGGCGTGGCTAAAGAGGCAGGCTTATTGTGCCACATTCTGAAAAAAAACATGTCTTTGTCAAAAACTATAAGGATTTAAGCATGCAAAAACATAGCAATTTTAAGAGGTCAAAACTTTTTAAATGCATTAAAGTTGTATTGGTGTCACTTTAAGATGTCTACAATGGACGGGTGAGCGTGTTACGAACCATGTCAAATCTGCTCCTGACTAACCAGTCCGTCTATCTTCATTAATTCTGAGACTACTATGATTAGATGGATAGAATGAAGGGAAAAGGTGTGACTACTCAGAATCTTGGGATCCAGGCACTTTTCACTAGATTGCTTGTTCCTTTTACTCTGGGACTTGGAAACACTACAGGGCAAGATTTTTCTCTATACCCACTGGAGTGCCAGATATCATCCACTTCCCAATCCTTCTTCCAGGCAGGTATTGGTTTCTTTTCATTCTGCCATCACCCTCTTTGCAAAGATGCTTTTTGGCTCACAGGTGATTATACCTTCTTCCAACAGGTCCATAGTTTGTGTTGCACCACTCCCTGAATAACACAGACGACTAGACTGTTTGAGGGATACAAGAATACCACAATATTTAATTCAACATTAGGACTAAACTTAACATCACTATATTCAACTTACTGTGACACACTAAAAACAATATATAAACATAGCAATGTAGGAAAAGAGATATTCATCAATAAGACCTAACTCCACAAATTAAGGGATTGACCAACTGATTTCTATACATTTTTACAGCACCAACTTATTTAGCACTTCAATATTAAACACATGGGGATATAAAAAAAGTAATTAACAAAATAAGTGTTGACAGATGCAAGAGCTAGTTCTGCTCCAATTAGCTTGCAATCTAGGACAAAGTAGGTAAAAGAAGAAAGAACAGCATGCCAACCACACTTAGACATATATAAACTTACGTACAGCCATGTAGATATACTCCAAGGGTACGCCTTAAGTTTGTGCTATCTGTGCTAATGTGATAGCGTGGAGGTGAGTTGTGTGAGATGTTGCAGTGTCCCTTTGCTCTAGTACAGTGATTGCTGTCACTGCCGGTACATTGCACCAGTTTATTGGCATACGGGGAGGCTCGTTGCTGCTGTGTAATAAAAGTCACTGTCTCACTGTGTTCTAGAAGACAACTTGAGCATACTCTGTCCTCCTGCTGTTTAGAGTCTAATCATAGAGGTTGTTGGGATATGTGATGTGATATATGGAGATAAATGTATCAAAGCAAAATAGATTTATTTTGGATGGAAAGGGCCAAATGTTGAGATACATTATATTCTTTTCTGTTATACATTATATTCTAATTTAGCACTTTGGCCAACTTTTGTGCCTGGGCGGAATGATGCCCGCCTAAGGATAAGTGCAGTGCTGATTCTTCATGTGATCATGGTTGTTGGAGGTATCCTCATAGAAATAAAAATAGTAGTATAGTGTAGTATACATGGGCTATGGAGCAGGGGTAGGTATAAATATAAAATGTGCACTCACATGTAATGGAGCCATAAGTATGGCTCCAAATTAGCGTATGAAGTGGTATGATCCCCACTCAAGGATATGGGTGTAGACAATCTTTCTCCATGAAATCTTAAATTTATTTGATTCCATTCAACTAACATAGAAATATAGAATGTGACGGCAGATAAGAACCATTCGGCCCATCTAGTCTGCCCAATATTTTGAAATACTTTTAATTAGTACCTGGCCTTATCTTAAGTCTAGGAGAGCCTTATGCCTATCCCACGCATGCTCAAACTCCCTCACTGTGTTAACCTCTACCACTACAGCTGGAAGGCTATTCCATGCATCCATTACCCTCTCAGTAAAGTAATACTTCCTGATATTATTTTTAAACCTTTGCACCTCTAATTTAAGACCTCTTGTTGTGGTAGTTTTTCTTCTTTTAAACATAGTCTCCTCCTTTACTGTGTTAATTCCCCTTATGTATTTAAATGTATTTAAATGTTTCTATCATATCCCCCTGTCAATATCAATATCCTTCTAAAGATATGGTCTCCAGTACTGCGTACAATACTCCAAGTGAGGTCTCACCAGTGTTCTGCACAATGGCATGAGCACTTCTCTCTTTCCAGCTGCCCTATTACATTGTCTTCCTACATTTAGGTCATCTGAAATATTTACTCCTAAATCCCTTTCCTCAGATGTTGAGGTTAGTAGGGTATCAAATATCCTATACTCTGCCCTTGGGCTTTTATGTCCAAGGTGCATTATCTTGCACTTATCCACATTAAATGTCAGTTACCACAACTCTGACCATTTTTATAGTTTACCTAAATCATTTGCCGTTTGGCTTATCCCTCCTGGAACATCAACCCTGTTACATATCTTAGTATCATCAGCAAAAAGACATACCTTACCATCTAGACCTTCTGCAATAGCACTAATAAAAATATTAAAGAGAATGGGTCCAAGTACAGATTCCTTAGGTACCCCACTGGTAACCACACCTTGTTTTGAATATACTCCGTTGACAACAACCCACTGTTGCCTAAATTGCCCAAAAAGTTGAAAAGTTGTTTTTCAACGTAAGGGTGTGAATTCTGTAGCACCAAAAAGGTTCATTGCTATTTCAATGCACCAAAATGCAAGGAAAATACCAAATCCCCAGATATCACAAGCCTCACAGACTCTCATAGCATGGCATAGTTATTCTCTACAGATATTTGTACTCCATGCAATGAAAAAGTGTACACATTAAATAAATAAGTAACTAAAAAGATCTTGGCAGCCCACCGTCGAGCTTAAAATGACTTTATGTCTGTAACAGAGGATGTTTTCTTCTGTGTTATAGCATAATAGGTGTAATCCTAAAATAATACATATTGTATTTTCTAACTGCTCCATTTTTTAAGCATACAGGGTGTAATTTTGCTTTGTGGGATTTAGTGGACGCAGCGGACGCTAGGGGACACTGTCCCTATCAATAAGGGAGGTCACCACAGGATGATGTCATGTCACTAAATTTTTTATTGCATTTATGTAAGTTTACAACAAAGCAGCAATTCAACTTCTCTTTACGGTGCAATATATTTAATATGTAAAACAGTAACACAGAGTGAGTGCAGAATGTTGAGAGAATTAATATGTCAGTGAGCTTGTGTACATGTTGATGTGAACATTTGTCTCCAGAACAGGGCCAGACTTGGACAAAAAATATGCCTGGGTATTTTGAAGTACAGCAGCCTTCTTTCAAGCTATGGGTCAAAGTCAGTTTCTGTAAATGGCCAAATATTACACTGAAGTGTGAATAATTGACTGAATTTAACCCACATATACATGTATATTAAAATGTTAATATGAACCCACAATACATATGTGTTTTTGCATAAACACAGCTGCCAATTCTCATCCCACTCCCATCTCCCCAGTTTGTGTCTGCCTCATTCCTCAAGTTTCAGATTGCCCCTATTCCCTCTCCAGTTTATGTAGACTTTCCTCGAGTTTGTGTTGGCCCATTCCCCCAAGTTCATGTCTGCTCTTAGCCCCTCCAATTTGTGTTTGGTCCTTCCCCCTCCAGTTTCATCTGCCCTTATTCCCTCCAGTTTGTGGTTACTCCTCAACCCCTCCAGTTTTGTCTGCCTTTATTCTCTTTAATTTGTGTTTGCTCCTTTTCTCCTCCCTGTCACTGTGGGAAGGGTGCAGGAATATGCCTGCTCTCTGCACTCTGCCTCTAAGTTTCATTGATGCTTTAGATGTCTGAGCAGAGAGAGGAGCAACCATTGTGAACAAGAGATCAATCACTTACCAGCTCCCCTTATAGTGGGTCATCCAACTGTGGAGATCCACTGGTCTTCCTACCCAGCGATCAGCCTGTGGTCATCACAGTCCTCCAAGAAGTACTGAATATAGCCAGGGGATGAATATAGCTGGGGGTCAAATTTAGGAAATATGGTTGGGAAGGGTTCACAATGTGTAACTCTTTAGTTCAGTCAGTCTCTCTGCTTCCTTCTTTGCTGATGTTCAGACCTCTCTATCTTGTCCCGATGACCACTCTATCTTGCCCACTATCTTGATAAGTAGGGGGCTGCTAGCCTTATTCATTTATTTAATATAGGAAAGCACTATTTTAAGGGGGTTGTTATCTAGTTTAGTGTTGCCTCAGTAAGTAAGGGGACCTAACAGAGGGAATCACTATTCGTTAGACAATCATTCAAAACCAAATGCAGAAGTCTGTCAACTGAGGTAGAGCCTGAGGCACCAGTTTCATATCTTAATGAGGCTGATGAAAGTTCCCCTGCATGGTTGTAATGCATATCTCAATTGCCTTGTAAGTATAACTTCAGGGGATTGGTTTTAGTGAGTAGGACATTGTCCTTATACCCAGGCAGTAGAATATCTTCGGATGACTCTGCCTTCATACTCCAATATATTTAGGAATATAAAGTAGAAGTGGTTTAAGGCTCCCCCACAGTGTCAGGAGGACTGGGCTTTGCAGAGCACAAATAAACAAGTGGCATTGCTTTTGCTTGAAGCATGGCCAACCTGAACTGTATGTGGTGGTACAATTTCTACCTGAAGCTTGGGGGGTAGGGGCAGGCATGTTAC